AAGTTTCTATCCGTATGACAGCTTAATTTCTATGTAAATGTCGTATGACACTTCTAGTGAAAGAAGTGCAGGGTGCAATGAGACTACTTGTATTTATTTAAGAGATGGATAGATATTTTTAGGAAGCTTTGAAAGAACAGCTTGTAAGTCAACTTCAACAAGGTTCTTTTTTTTTTCCATTGCAATTTCTTCTAGTGGAGCATAATAATAAACAGACACTTGCTTTAGTCTGTATTTAACTATTTTACATGGAAGTTGTGTGTTGTCACCTCTCTCTATCTGACCTGTCCCATCTTTTTCCTTTCTGTTAATGCTCTTGAGAACGTGGAGAATTGGGATCAACAAGGAGAAGAACATCTAATATTGCAACTCCCCAATATGACTTACATGCATAGTAAAGGAAACCTTACTCCAGGAGAACTGAACAACTACAACAACAAAAAAATCTCTACATGCATTTTTAGCACATCTACTGTTTACAAATGCTTGGAGGGGGGGAAGAAAATTGCAGTTTGCTCTGCGTATCCCCTGATGTTCCCCTTGTGTCCTTGAGCTTCTGAGGAACTTTAGAGGTGATTCCCAATTTCACCTTCTGACTGAGAGCAGCTATGTGCTTGTACACAACACTTGTTCCCTGCATGGAGTTTGCATGGCTGGCCTACAACCTTTGTGCCAGCCAGCAATGCTTTGTAAACAAAGGATAACCTCCTCCAATCAATACTTATAATTATTTGTTCTCTATTAAAGTATTTTCTAACTTCAAGCCAGCTTTTAAATTTGAACTTATCCACTTAACCCTAAACGCTATTTTTTTCTGTTGTTGAAATCACCAAAAGTGAAATGCCTGAATTGTTTTGTATGGCTTCTGAAGAGTCAATAGTCTAGAGACCCCAAATTATTTTTTTGTTAAGTTTTTCCTCATTTCTTTATTAAACAAACAAACAAAAAACAAAGTAAACCTCAAAAGGTAAGAACAAATCACTAGTTCCTTAGTTGGAAAATATTTTGTTGTCAAGTGCAGTGGGTCTATGCAATGAGTGAGGAATCTTTGGGGACCAGAGTCTTCTCCCTCAACTGCCCTTTTGCTGCTTTGACGATCACGTAATCAAAATGGCACCAGTTAGCAGGGCACTTAAATCAAAATTGCCAGCAGTAGCCAAAAGGTACCTGCTATTGTTTATGTACGTTGAGAACGTGCTGGTGACTCACAGATGGCTTCTTGGCGAATTAGTGTCCCATGGGTTCCTCTTAAGCTGCCCTTGTTGCTACCTTGTCAAAGGTGGAGAAAGGGGAGCTTTTTAAAAGCTGAATCTACCTCATCCAGAAAAATAGCTTCCCAGTAATGGGATAAGCTTCATTTTACAGCCTTTTGCAATTGTGGGTGTGTTTGGTTTTTAGTGTTTTTTTGTTGTTTTGTTTGTTTTAGTGTTTTGTTTTGTTTTTCCTGGGGAGAAATGCCAGTTGTCTCAAGAATAATGCTGGAGCTTTTGCTATTTTTCATCTTCCAACAGTAGAAACACCGTGTCCAGGCCTTATTTGGCATCAAGAGGAAAAACTACTACTGAGAGTCTGTGCCCAACACTTGGAAAAATAGTACTTTAGATAGTTTCAGCAAAACAATATTATTCATATAAACATATAATGGGTCCGCACAACTGAAGTATTCATCAGGGTCTGAAATCTATCCTGGTTCTTCTCGTGTTCCTTGCGTGTTCCAGTCAATGCAAGCACTGTTACTGTGGTCTAAGCATCAATGCTGGTGAAAGCTATGTGTAATCAGACAGATTTCAAATATGAATTTCATCTCCAGCTGTTTATACTGCCACTTCTCTTACCCTGGCAGGACTTTCAATGCTGTAATACGTACCTTGATCATCTACTCTGCCTTGAGAAAGTGAGTTGTGTACATCTGTCACTGCAGTGGTCACTGCTTGTATTGGAGCACTTCTGAGATCCAGCAAAACACCTCCCATGAGAAAACTAGCATTTTATCAGATTTATTGTAGGCTTCATGGTATAATCCAATCATATAAAAAAAACCCAACAACCTAACCTACAAAACAAAAACTCCTAAAGGCTATAAAGCTTCCTGGTGTGCTGCTGTAAGAAGCATAGAGTGTGTTATTACAACTTCACTCTCTAGTGAATTACAGCTTTTGCAGATGGGAAAAATAGAAAAATGTTTACAAAAGTTCAGTAATAATTCAGCAACCTGGCACACTGTTAAAACACTTAGTTTCAACTTTAAGAGAAAGTGAAGTGTGAAGGAAAAATAGCTATGACTTTAACCTTAAAGTTTCTTAGAACTGTAGAAAATAACCAGAAGTGTATACGTTGGCAAAGCATGTGAAAAACAAGAATAGACTTCTGTGGTGCCTACATGTTTTGTGTGATTGTTTCCTATGTTGGAATATTTGTTTTTTTGCATTTAAATCCCGTTTCATTTGAGCAAAAGAGGAAGTTGAGTTTGGTGATAGTTCAAAACAACAGAGTTTCCTAACTTTTGTGTGTTTTTTCCCCTTCACTGGCTGTTTTCACTTGGAATACCTCCTGCCCAAATAGGAAACGCTGCTTTATTGGAGAACAAAACTTGTGTAAGGTTTTTATTCATGTACTTGCAATATCTACATGTTGGAGGGAAATAAGTTTTCATGTAATAATCGACTTGCTTTATTTTTGGTAGAGAGAAATCTAGAAAAACAGCTTGCACTCTGAATAAGTTTTCCTCTACTGCTCTCATGGATAACTATGACCAGGGAGTTGTGGAGGATGTGGCTTTAGGGCCTGGTCTCAGGAAGCTAAGGTGAGAGTTGGAAGCAGGAGCTTCTGGTCTTCACACTTCATGCTGAGTTCTGAGCTCAGCAAGGCCAAGAGCTGCTGCTCTTCAATGACAAGATACTGACTCATGAGTGAGTGGGTCAATGGGGACTACCACTAGAAGGAAAAGCAACATCCGACCTTCATTCCCCTCTGCTAAGCTGAGGGGAGCAAGGTGGCAGGGCTACTGATTTGCTGGACTGAGTAGTCATGAGCAAGTTCTAGTTTGCAAACTGGAGACCCTTATTAAACTGCTGAAAAGCAAATTTTGGAGTAAAGCTTTGAAAGACCCTGTTAAATAAACCTTTCTGTCTATTTACAGCTAGCTCGTTCACCTCCTTTGGTACCAGTACAGTGCATTAGCTCCCATAGGTATCTTCCCTGTTTGAGTATTGGATTTTAGAGCAGTTACCATAGTCCTGCCTCACCTTTTGGTGAACTAACAAAACAAGATGTCTTCCCCTTCCCATCGCATTGGCAAAGGCTTTTGGTCACCCAAAACACCTGTACCTGCTGCACTTTCACTTTCCTGAATGAAAGAGACTTGAATCATTCATACGCACAGCTTCAGATGCATTTCGCCATTTCAACAGTGTTGTGTGAAGATGGAAATTCTTTCCTCCTTCTTCTTGGAATAGTTTTCCTCCTATATTCACTTTTGGGTTTTAGCTTTTTTCTTTTTTTTTTTTTTAACAGCCCCCTTTGCACTGCCTGAATCTTAAGCAGTAGAGCAGGTCACTTATCCTCTTGTAGATTTCTAATGGATAACCCTCCAGTTTTGGCATGTTGAACGACTGTTGCTGATGTTGATAACTGCTGTTTTGTACTATCCCAGTCTAATTTTGTTTGCTGATCATGATGAAAAGCAAACTCTGCCACTCTTCCACAGTAATGTTGAAAACACATGTAATGAATTAATATTTCAGCCTTCCTCTTTTTTACAATACAATAAACAAGAGAACTGTACCACATTAGTGAGAATACCTTTTTTCCACTACAGTTTAATGAATTTAAGTTTGTATCTAAGCCCTGACGTTTTCCTGTGAGTGATAGCTACTAAGTGGTTCATCAGCTGTGTGATCAAAAACCTTGTACTGCTTGTGTCCCAAGTGCCAGTCAAATACAGAATGCAGGAAGTATCTCACGTTCCTCCTGTGTCCAGCAGCAGTTTGAAAATTGGCTGAGAGAAACAGTTAATTCTGAGAACAGAAAACTTGTCTGTACGTGCATCAGAGCATTCCTAAGAATCTTGGCATTAAAACAAACGTGTCTGTTGACATATCTTTGTGCTAAGCATGCAAACTTCTGTGGTTACATTTGATTAGTGTGTTTAGTAAGACATCACAGATGTTTTCTACTATATAATCATATTCTTTATATCGTGACTGCTTTTTCTTAACAGTTTTATAACTTACACAAACGTCAGGCAGGTAACCTTTCTTGAAGAATACACTTATTTGAAAGTAAAGCAAAGCTAAGATTTGAGTTTAATACAGAAACTTACTTCAAATATAAGCTTCTTTACCATACCCTATACTTTATGCGTATATTTCCTTATACACAATTGGTGTTAGATGTTCAGAGTGCAAACTTCTTAATGTCTGTGTGTGTGTAGTTTGTTTTCGGGTGGTTTTCCCCTTCCTCAAGAGCGGAGAGATCCATGATAACAAATATCTCTTTGGACCATAAGAAAACTTTTTTTAGTGACCTGGTCTAGTGGAAAGTGTCCCTGCCCATGACAGGGGAGTTGGAACTAGATGATCTTTAAGGTCCCTTCCAACCCAAACCATTTTATGACTCTCTTCTCAACAGAGAAGAATATGCCATGAATACATCAGAAATGAAGTATATAGGGTGTGTCTGCTAGGAATGATGTATATAGACCTGGCACCAACTGGTCTCAATCAGCCAGAAAATTAGGACCCTGTCTAAAGCGAGGCTCAAGAGTTCAGTAGTAAACCTGGATCACAGCTCTATAAAGCAACTGCACCTCGGAAAACCCAGGGAAACAGTAGATGGTAACTCAGTCTGTTCTTATGAGGCATTT